TTAGTACTTGAGATATCAGGTGAAAAGCTGAAAATTAACTAATTATGCTAATAAGGTGATTAATATGCACAAATATTTACCCAAAAACTAATTAGGTCTCTGCACAATCCTCAAATAACTATGTACCAAGTTTCATTGAAACGTGATCATTACTACTCGAAATATCAAAAGCTAATAATTAATTAATTATGCAAATTAGGTAATTAATATGTACTGATATTACCCAGGTATGTGCAGTGTCCCAAGTTTTATTGAAATGTTATGATTAGTACTTGAGATATCAGTGGAAAAGCCGAAAATTGATTAATCATTATGTAAATTAGGTAATTAATAATATTAACAGATTTTTACCCAAAACTAATCAAATCTACGCATTAGTTCAGAGCATCCATGTGCCAAGTTTCATTGAAATCCAATGAGTGGTTCTTCAAAAATCAGTGGAACAGTCATAGAACAGCTTAAAATCAGTTAATTATCATGCAAATTAGGTAATTAATATTCATAGATTTTTACCCAAAACTAATCAAATTTGCGCACTAGTTCAGAGCATCCATGTGCCAAATTTCATCAAAATCCAATGAGTGGTTCTTTAGATATCAGTGGAACAGTCTTGGAACAGCTAAAAATCAGCTAATTATCATGCAAATTAGGTAATTAATATTCATAGATGTCAACCCAAAGCATCTACACAAGCGGTTGTCAAAAAGAAGTCAAAAATAGCATTTTTTACCAAAACTGACAAAAATATATTGAACAACAAGTCATTGAAAATGACACAGTCCCCGTTAAACTTTTGAAAGTTCCCTTTGTGCTCGTCATATAAAAGCGGAGGGGTTGTCGCGAGCATGTCCTTGAAACTAGAGTTCCAAGTGGCGTATACAACAGATTGTTTATTTACATCAAGACACTTGTTCCATGTAGTAGTAATACGGCCAAAAATAAAAACAGTCGTTATTCGGCCATCTTTGATCTGATTATGAAACACACTGATATGTATGATGTATGTGCCAAATACGAATGAAAATGGTACATAAATTGTGGAAATATAGTAGTAAGGCCAAAAAGTCAGATGGCTGTCAATCGGCCATCCTTGACCAGATTTTGAAACAAATTGTCATGGACATGCATCCTAACATGTATAAAGTACATGCATGTGCCAAATTTGAATAAAAACTGACAGAGCAGGTCCAAAATACAACATTTTCAACAAAAAACAAGATGGCTGCCAGCCAGCCATTTTGAATCGAATCGCCAAACCACTGCATGAGCATGTGTCCCACATAAGGTACTAGGCACATGCAAAGAATGAACAGAATCGGTCCAAGGGATTCTGAGATATGACTCTGGACAGACTGACGCACGCACGCACGCACGGACGGACGGACGGACGGACACACTGACAGACAGACTCAGGAACTCACGGACGGTTGGGGACATGTATCCTAACATGTATGATCTATGTACTAAATTTGAATGAAAACTAACAAAACATTTTCAAAAAACAAGATGGCTGCCAGTCGGCCACCTTTGATCCAATTGTGAAATAAATCGTCATGGGCATGTATCCTAACATGTATAACCTATGTACCAAGTTTGAATGAAAACTGACAAAGCACGTCCAAAATACAACATTTTACAAAAAACAAGATGGCTGCCAGTCGGCCATTTTGAATCAAATCGCTAAACCACTGCATGTGCATACATGTATATCCCACATAAAATACTAGGCACATGCAAAGAATGAACGGAATCGGTCCAAGGGATTCTGAGATATGACTCCGGACAGACGCACGGACAGAGACCGAATTATAAGTCCCCGTTTTCGGACTTCGTATGAACGGGGACTAAAAATTAGAGAGTACTGACACAAAAAGAACAAATCTGACTGAGGTTCTCTTAAAGCGCCTACATATAAAATATTAACGCAATAACTGAGAGAGGTCCTCCAGAGATGCCTATATATTGAATGTAAAAGCAATCAGACTTGTAGTTTTCAAGTCAAAAAATATAAATTTTTACTAAAAATGACAAAGATATACTGAGAACAAGGCAATTGAGGGAAACTACTGATATTTATCAAATATCAAAGCAATCAGACATGTGGTTTTTAGCAAAAATATTCATTAAAATTGAAGAAATTGTCATGAAATGAACAAATGAGAAAGGTCCACTCAGGGTACATATACATCCATGTTTTCAACCAATCAGGCTTGCACTTTTCAGGAAGGAGACGGAAATGTAACAAGCGACCTAATGACAGAAATGGCTCTGCTGTAGAGTGTCTTACTCAAAACAAATTTGATAATGTTCTGTATGAGATAATTATTAGACCATTTGCCATGGTTACAGTAGTCTATTTGGTTGTTGCCATAGCAATAACAAATTTGATTATCCTGTTGCAAATCTCATGTAGGTCAACGCATGAACCCTACAGTACAGTTCTCGCAGAAGCTTTGGCTTCACTTCAGCTTCACCTTCGCTTCAGCATCACATCATTACGGCATTGTTATGGCTTCAGCATCGCTTCAATGTCGCGACATTAAAAAGTTAGGCGGTTATCGCTTCGCTTCATTGTGGCCTCATTATGGCGACAATGTGGCATCAGCATCGCTTCATCAAACAAAGAGGTACAGAACTCATTTCGCCCAACCTCTCGCCCGCTTCCGCTTTTCAATCGCTCGCTTTTGCGACCGCTTGTTGAATTTCCGCTTTATTTTCGACTGTGCAAAAATTCGGACTACTAACAATTTTATGGTTTTCATAGATCACGGTTACTAGTTTAGTAACCGTGCATAGATGTTAAACAACCGTCAAAAGTTCAAATACTTTTTGTTTTAACTATCTATAATTATATGCACGCAATCTAACCTTTTGATCTAGATTTGGCTGGGATTGACTATTTTATTTTAAACAATATTCTGACGTAACGCACTGCTACAAAATGTATTTCAACAGAAGTACGACATGGTTGTCCGGGTTTCTTTTCCTGACTGCGTTGAGTTTATGATATGTATAATTATTGCTATTTCCCCCAAGGAGAACACAAGCCGAAGGACCATGAAGCTAAATAGAAGTACCACGCATGGACTGAGTGAAGAAAATATTTCTAAGGCTAAAATAAAACCTACCGGTAATATCTCTTTGTGTATTTGTCAATTTTGCATATATTTGTTGTGACAGTATGTTTGTAAATATCTGGAAAAATCTCGTCTTGCGTTAATAATATCATTTGTTTGAAATGTCTACCGACCCTGTCCCAATAATTTGTTTGGAATATCGATCGATCCCCGTTGGTTTCTCCAAACGATCCCGACGTCCATTATTCAACACAATCAGCATTTATTTATCGTAATTCATGGGGATCATGTCCCGTAATTTGCGGGCTGTAAAACCAAATAATTAAACACGTACTATTTATTATATATATTTGTTTACCTCGTGAAACTACAACACAGCGTAGAGTTGTCGCAGTGAAACAGTCGCCTTGAAATCGATGGAACTTCAATTATCTATTTCACGCCTTGAAATAAAATTAAACAAATTCAAAGAGCATCGGGGGATATATTATTAACCAGTCTTACCAACTGATAGCTTTATTTTATTCAAATCCATAAAATTCACAAGTTTTTCGATATTTGTTAGCAACTTCCGCGCTAAAAATGGTTGAAAATGTGGGTGTGGTTCTCTCGCAAAGTCCCGTTGATAAT